TATCTATGCGTTCATTATTATTTAAAAATAAAAATTAATCAAAGCTGTTTACGAAACGTAAAATGGGTTGCCTATGCAGAAATATTCAAGCGTGAACAGATACATGGCAGTTACATGGAAGTCTTTGATCTTTATTGTCACTTTTTTTTAAGTAAAACATAGCTGTTTGGTTTTGATAATTTTGAAATAACCATCAATTGGTAGGTTAAAATCAAAAACAAACAAATTCGAAACCAGAACTCGTCGGAGCATCTCCTGTACGGTCAATATTCTGTACACAACCGTGAAGCACTCGCCTTGTATCAAAATCATATCAGTCATTTCATCGCTGGAATCAGGCTGTACATCAAATCTAAAGAAATGTCAGGTTTCACATGATACTATTTGACATGCTATTTGAGACCACGTCAATGTTACTAGACAGATAACTATGTTTCACTTTTTTTTAAATCATGTGAAATATCAAAGAAAAAATTGTACTTCTGGTTGCGTCTTGAATTTTGTAGGCTTCTCGTGAATAACCCTGTATAACAAGTCGTATTTCACAACATTTATAAAACTGTGTTGTACGGTCACTTTGATATTTTTTTAATTATTATTGATATAAATTTTATTTTTCTATGAAAACTCTGACAGGTCCTATGTGTAAAGCTAGAAATATGGATGCATTATTAAATCACATATAAAGGGGCATAATTTCAAATATGCAAAATCTGATATGGCATTGCAATAGTTTTAGTGTAAATGAAAGACCAATTTTATTTAGCATTTTACCATTTAAACGGTAATCCTGAAGGACACCTAAAATGTCATAGTAATCAATCCAGTAGTTTCGGGGATTATCAGTCAAATAGAATCACCGACAAACGAGAGACGCCAGAGAGATGGAAATGGAAAACCGGTATTTCACATTCTTCAGATTGGGAAGCATCGAAAAAATATGGAGTTATGTATTCGTCAATATGATTCTAAAACAATATTCGCCTAACTTACACTTGCGAATAACAAAAAAAAAAAAAAATTAAAAGCGTGATAATTTTTTCTCACCTGTCTTCGAAGCGAGATAGTAAACTTTAACAAGGACATAAATGTAAATGACTGCAAAATTAGACAAGGCGCACTTCAAGTGTAAATTTATTTCTACACACTTTACACTTTTACAATTGAGCGACATTATGTGTGGGTTATACTCTCAAGCTTACAATTTTTAAGTTTATTCACAGAATGCCTATTGAACAATCATGAAAATTGGTAGCCATTCGATTTCCAATTCAGTTCATGATTTAATCGAAGTTTCACGTTCTAATTTGTAATGTCGTCTATCAGATCAGGCAATGTGTAATGAGAATGACTAATGATATATTTCATGTCAGTAATTTGCAAAGTACCTATGATTGAACAATTCAAATTAATGCAGAGACTTTCATTTGAGTTGTACTATCCTTAAAATAACTCATGCTTTCTATAATTTATATTTAAGTATTTTAATAGGTGTCTGTCCGGCGAGCAGCTACTTTAATCTTATAATGAAGTTTCATGACCCTTTGACTATGAAACAATAGGTTTTCCCTTTCCGTCTGTCTGTTACCTACCTGGCTGTCCTGTATGTACGATTTTATTGGACAGATAACCTCCGAAAGTACTAAATTTATCGTTGTAGAATTTTGTATGTATTTGAGGAATATCGTGTACATCGTTAAACGCTAACAACAATTCTATGACGTCATCTCAAAATTTTGTCATTGCAATATTTTGCAAAATGTGGAAAATATTATCTGTATCTGTGATTTATGAATGCATTCATATTATGGAATTGCTTATACATGATGACGCAAAATAATTAATAAATGAAGCATTATATTTTATTGATCAAATCAAGAACCGTTCACCCCATTTCCCCAAAAATTTAGAAGTACAGTACTATCGTTATTGGTATCTATCAAAATTGATATATGTGTAGTTTTTAAAATGTCGGTGACGTCATCACAAAATTTTATTATGAAAAACTCACTTGAAAGCTACGCATAACAGGCTTCTTTACTTATAATTGAAAAGTCCACACAAATTTTTATTTTAACTTCTAGGAGTTATCATAAAAAATACAATTTGCAAAATCAGATTTTATAATGTTTCTAAGAAACTGGGTTTGTTCAACTGTACTTCAGGAGTGAGAAAAATTCTGTTTAAATAAACTTATCCCATTCTTTTATAAATGTCACAATGTTGACAAAGATAATTCTATACATCGTATACTTATTTCAAAAATGACGTTTTGATTGTATTATGTCGTATCCACTTCCAATTACATGACGAGCTGATATTGCTAAAGAAAATTTTTATATATTTGTTTTACGAACAATACTAACCCAATAACGTCATCCCATTTTTCAGACAATAATTTGTTTTGGTACAAAGAATAATTCATTTATAACACAATAATGGGTAGTTTATTTTATACACAGAGTTTTTGTGTAGTGTACCAGGCACTAAGTCATTCCGTTACCTGCATCATTTCTACTGTATTTATTGAGATCAGATTTGCAACTGTTATTCTATTTTAGGTTTAGTTTTTTTCAATAATCTTGTATTATTATCAGACAGTTAAAAAAAACAATTCAATGTAGAATAAAATTGAAGCAATTCACATGCCACTCTATCGTTGCTGAGAACACGGGAGCTTCTTGACTTCCTGCAAATATATGGGACAAAATTTATGCACAAAAAGATAATTTAGTTACTACAAACAAGCAAATTCCAAGCTAGAACGTAACGTTTATGTTTGTTCTTCAAATAGTGAAAGTTTTGAATTTCCTCACATTTTGAAAGGAAATGTTTTGTCCGAATTTTTCTGCTTGTATATATTTTTTGTATCGCTTTCTGTTTACGCTCAGATTTGTTTATTCTTCCCTCGAGGCGCCTGCCAGTCCAATAATCAACGCAGCTTTAGTCATAAAATATAGTTGATCATCTGCTTCCATCAGAAATTTTGTTGCCTCTGCGTGTCTCAAAATTTTAGATTTTTTGGGACGAAACCTCTCCTACTGTCACTTTAAAATTAAAACAATTAAATACATGTATTTATTTATCTCAACATTAGGCTTCAACGAAATAACGGATCGTAAAGATTGTCCAGAATTATATGAATTCTATGAACTCCCAAAGTTAATTTGTTTTATCGCCAACCGGCAATAGAGACATGCATTACCATAGCGATTTTCGGAAGTAAACAAACACTTTATTTTACTGTAAAAATCAAGCACTTTACCTGCCGCTCATAATTGTCAACATAACCATGACTGTATGACATTCTGTCTGTCACTGTCACGGTTCCAACGAGAAAAGTTCTGATACGATTGCAGAGTCCTATGTTGAGGAATCTGTGCTCAATAAAAAGAAAATCGCAGAGACAATTTTAGGTGAAAGTCAAACTGACAACATATTTGTTACCAATGATAATTTTACTCAAGATTCACCTAATGAAATTATTAGCACGGCTAATCCTTAAACATTTTCACTTCAAACTCCTTCGACTTCAGGACTCAATTTTTATTATCCGTCAGGTTGTACATTTACATTTAATATAACAAGTAATAAGTAGATATCTTTTGACTCATTGTTACTATACGTTTACTGTCATAATAAAATGTGATAAGCCATAACATTTCCATTATTTTTAATTATAAATTTTTAAGGTTGGCGATAAAAATTTGTATGCACCACGTCAGTAAAGGATCTTTATCGAACTCGCCTGTTACTCGCCTCGCTCGCTTCGCTCGCTCGGCTCATAATCTCAGACTCGTTCGATAAAGAATCACTTTACTGACTTCGTACATAAATAACTATTACATCCCTGTTGTCAATTTTATTGTACAGCTGAAGAGCGGGGTGAACTCAGGTACAGAAAACATCGGCTTTCCCCTAACAGGCTCTTTACCTGTACAATAGAATTGACGACTGCGCTGTAAAATGAATTAACGTTGGGATTCCATAAAATTCATATAATTCTGAACAATCTTTAACATCATATGAATAATATACCCACAACGAGGAAGCTTTCCGGTGTTTTGAGAGGTCTTCAAAATACGCAAGGAGTATATATCATTTAGTTTTGCACCACTCTTCAAGCTTTGCGTAGTTTTTCTCGTAACACCTCTTTGATTTCTGGCAGAGCGAAGACACCATGTTTTTTGCTGCCTTTTCCACATGCGTTGGAAGACTATCAGAGTCGGAATCTCTTCATACTACTCATGATCTGTGTTTTTCTTGAAAATTGTTTGAGATTTATTCAAAAGTTGCTTTCCTGGATAATTTGTGAAATTATTTGAAAATAAAAATACGCGCGTTACTACAGAAACGCGCATCACATGTTTGATTATTCAAACGACGCAAATTAAGACTTTGCATTTTCTTTTCTTTCAACATAATTTAAGGCAATCATAGATAAAATATTGAATGATATACGTTTGATATGATACTTAACCAATCGCTTCGTGGTTTACTCGTCACATGCGTTTCATTATGATAGTCATAGCAAATTTATATCATTAAATTTTATTATTCTGTCCATATTTTTTAAAGATACAGGAAAACTAATAAAGTGGTTTCCAAAAGTGTTGTGGCAGTTCAACTTTTTGCTTTATAAATTTGCTGTGAAATGAATTACAGCAGAATATTCCTCAACTTTCAGATACATAATAGCCTTTGTCATTTCTATTGAAACACCACTTGTTGAACGTAAATTTGGCAACGTTCATATTCAGACAATTTTCTAACTAAAAGCCGTTGTCAATCAACCGAAAGCTGTTACCAATTGCTAAATTTTAAGCAAAATCAACAGGTGGTGTTTCAATAGAAATGGGATAGACAATATCCACAAAACTCTAGCTGCAAATGAACTCAACACAGTAAATTTATAATATTGTAAATAAAGCTATCCTATAATTTCATAAATAGAGGTGTTCAGAATTTTAAAAATTCTTTTAGATAAAATATTTTTACAGGTATGGACAGCTTAGTGGAATGGTTGAACCAATTTTTGGTGTTCTCGGTGCGGTTGCAGTAGCCTTGGCCCAACCAGCATTGCCTTATGCACTGTCTTTTGCAGCAGGGGCAATGATTTATGTTGTAGTAGACGATATTATTCCAGAAGCCAATACAAAGTAAGTTAATTTATTAGCAGTAAAAACGCTTAGATTAACGTGGTTTGTCTAACCAACTGGATGTTTGTGTTATACCAATATTTTTGAAATTCTTCTGGCCAATAATTAATTTGTTCATCAAGTCGACGATGTAGGTACTTATGACATTTGCACTTTTTACAGCGGCAATGGAAAGCTAGCAACCTGGGGTGCTATTTTAGGATTCCTTGTTATGATGACACTAGATGTAGGTCTAGGATAGTTAATATTTTTCATTTTAGCTAACGACAATTTTTTAGATATAATGTTAAATTTATTCCTTTGAAAGTCTTGTATTTTTACTTTTGTCTTAGTTCTGTAATTTTTACACTGGATTCACTTTATCGGTCTAGGAAAATGATCAGTTGTCCTTTTGTTTTTACAGTTTAGTAGTTGTACTTATGTATTACATTTTTAAGATATTATTTTATTTTCTTCTTATATAACTTCATTTATGCTTCCGTACTTACGATTATATTGACTGTTAATGTGTTTATTCTAAAATCAATTTACAACAACTACTGCTGTGATAGTAAATCTAAGAACTGTTGTCAATAAAGGTGAGAAGAAGAAGCAAAGACACAATAAATTTAGCCATTAAATTATTCTTCCGTAATTACTAATTTCCACGCATTCTTTCAAAATTGCTTATGTTTTTTATATATACTCCAGTTCCTATTTCTATGTAGATTCTAAATCTTGAATAACTTAATTGAAGTTCCGTTAATACAGTATCTCGTTTGAAATAATCTTCAAGTAATAAATTTGATATTTTATTGTGAAGCAAGAGCTTCATTAAAATTTTCCCCCCTTTCTTACCGAGCTCACAAGGGTAGCTATAACAACGTAACAAAACAGACTTAATAAAACTGTGAAGAACTGACGGGTCAATTTAAGAAAATTCTTAGCATATAAAGGCGGAAAAATTATAATGAGCAGAAACATGTCACGAGAAAAATTTTGTGAATTTAGCAAGAATCATGACAAAAAGCTTGAAGAAAAGAAAAAGCGTCAGTTAAGGCAACCTACACAGTCACAAGAAGCCTGCGGAAACAGAATATTAAAATTGTCGACTAAAGATCTACAGATCTAAAGGAGATAATTTCAAAAAGAAAAAGTTGATCTTAGCGACACGGTTATTTTGGTATCTGAAAATGACTAAAAAGATGTGGAAATTTTAACGGGGCTCTAAATAAACGCTAAAATTCAAGCAATAGAAACGAAGTTGGGGCAAAAACTAGAAATTAAAGAAAAAGAATTGGAAGAATTTTTACATATTTTAATTGATTAATTTTACTTATACGCATAAATATTACGCCATATCACCAATAATAAATAATTTTAGAAATTGGAGTTTTTCAAAAATTAATTATACCGAAATTTGTTTGTAAAAGATTGTCCATAAATTTTCCAAATCAATGTAAGGCCTAGTACACCAAGTGCGACTATGATTTAAATAAGATATTATCTTTATAATATTGTTATAAATAATTTTAAAATAAAATTAATCGCCTTGATGTACCCGGTCCCAACCGTACTTTAAATACATTCGCAACTCTACACACATTTTCTGTATATTTTTTTTTTTGTAATAAATAAAGTAGTGCAATTAATCTATCTGTTTTTACTAAAATAATAATAAAAGTACCACCGAGAGGTATGTATTAGATAGATTAGTCGTAAAATCCATGTGAACGTTAATTAAGGTAGGTAAGTAATATCAACAAGATCAAACCACTTGATTAGCACCAAAGTTCCCTCACTTCTGAAGCGTAACCAACACGTCATACGTGTGAAGACATACGTTTTAATAAAGATTCATTTGATAGTTTTTTGTTGACAGCATGGACTTATCACTAGATGAACGTTATTTGGTAAGTACAAGAAACGGCATGAGTAATTTTTAAGTTGATGGATAATATGCGTTAGATGTTAAATTATTCTAAGGAATTTTGTATACGCGATTCCTAAAAATTAAAAAAAATGTTACTGAACTACAAAACAAAAAGCATTTAAATAATTGATGCATGTCTACCCACTGTTTTACAAAATATTTACTAGCACAAATAATTATATCGTGTCAGTATTTTTTAGACGAGTTTTTTTTTAATGAGTCATTTTGAAAAAAAAAAGGTTCGTATTCTTTTCCTTTAATTAATATTTAGGGTCGTTCGTTAATTTTTTTTATCTTTGTCTGATAGATGCTTTTATCGCATAATGCTACTGATTCTAATCAAAATTTTAGCTAATGAATGACTTAATGAAAGGAAAAGAGTACGACCTATTATGGTTAAATGCTTTAAAACCATAGTTTAAGTTTTTTTTTTGCCATAGAACACACACATAACGTGGGCAGATTTTTTAAACTCTAAAACAATTCTTTGGATGAGGCAATTGTACAAATTTTGATTAACATTTTTCAAATTTCAAAATAATCGATTTGGGAATTTCAAAGATCTAAATCATAACTATTTCCAACAGATAAATGGGAACGGGAATCCAGTGTTTTCGTATTCGATGATCCACGAAAATTCAAGAAAACACAAAACTTTGAAAAAATTCCACATGTGAAAGGGAGTAAATTACGAAAAAGCAATCAAAAACGAAAACAATTAAATATTTAACAAAAGTAAATTTAAAATTGTATCCTTATATTATTTTAAATAGTCTTTAATTACTTGGAATTAGGACGACCAACAAATAAATAACACTACTTTTGCTTCGTTTCGTTTATTAACACAAACTTACGCCAGCAATACTAATAATATAGTATATCTACGACTGTTTAGTAACTGTTGTATTCTTTATACAAATTTTTGTAGTTATTTATGTCCGTTATAACTCGCTTGATTGTAGCTGTTAAAGAATATTGATTATTGCATTGATACCTAGCCATTCTTTCATGGTTGCGCGTAAAAAAAAAGCTTGCATAGAGCGGGACTCGAACCGGTGACGTAAGCTTAGATCTAACTGTGACGCTAGATGTAGGAGCTACCATTCCACATTTTAATCCAGTGTTAAATTAATCGAGGATTAAATATTTAATTCGCGTTTCTATAAACCGGCCCTAAGATAGTAGATAGATAGATATTTTTAATTTTAGGTAACGACAATTTTTTAGATATAATGTTAAATTTATTCCTTTGAATTCCTAATGAATTGAATCAAATTGATAGATGTGTCTCAAAATCACCCTATTAAACGTAAGAACCAAAACTACATATCTCTCGTACAAAGTCTAGCTACTATTTTAAATAATAGTAACCAAATAAAAATTTACAAACAGAAATAAGATGATTTCAAACGGTATCTTAAGAGTTTTTTCCCTGTGATTTTGAACGACAGTGATGATGAAATTGTCTGTTCTCCACTTGAAATTAGGGAAGGTATTTCAGCTGCTACTTTAAATTTGTATACCAAAAAATCCAACAAAAACTATAAAGCAGCTTACAATATATTTATGGACTGGAGTACTCAAAAAAACACGGAAAATAAGGAATATGACTAATATGTTGAAGTATTTTATTGATTTGTCAAAAAAATACAAGTCTTCTTCACTCAATGTTAAGTATCCTTCAAGACGCAAACAGAAAATCACAAAAAGTTACGTTCCTTTTTAAAAAGAACATCCGATGGTCACAAACGAAGACAGCTGCAGTCTTTGTAGCGGAAGAAATTCGAAAATTCATTGACAAATCTCCTGATGATAAATACCTAACTACTAAGGTACCTAGCAACTTCCTGTTTTAAAAATTAATAATTAGTTGTTGAACTTTATCTAATGAAAACAGATCATGTTCATGATCATCAAACAGCGTTTCTTGTTGATATTCCGAAAACAAAAAATTACGTAACGCTCCAGTTTTCAATTACTGGTGCATTTTATGGTATTCTTAAAAAGTACATTTCGTCATCGAAAGTAACTACAAATTCAGTAACTTCAAATACTTATTATGGATTTCAAAATGCATGAGGGATGGAAATCCAACGCTGAAGCCTACATATATTGAAAGCTCATTCACAAATAAAATAAATGCCCCCACAAAAATTCTACATCAATTGAAACCATGTTGTTCTTAAAACGCTTAAAACGCTATCGGAAGAATCAAGACCTACTTCTGCAGCTTGATTATCAAATGTTTTAAATTTCAAATTGAATAGTAATGTTAATATTGCATCTCCCCTTTGCATCAATATTGGAAAATAAAAAATAAATTACAGGATTCTGTATTCAGTCGTAGATAAAATAGTGTCTTTACTCGCATGTAATTGGTTATTATTACACTCGAATGACACGAGCGAAGTTTAATAATAGCCTTCATTACATGGTCGTTAATATTCACTATTAAGAGTGTCATTATTCAACCAATTTTGAATAAGTAAAGTGGATTATAGCTCACTAGTGATTTTTTTATTGTTCAATGTTTATTTACTTGGGATGAACTTTGAAATATCCACGTTCTCATAAATTTGCAAAGTAGATTTCAGCGTAGAATACGTTGTCCACAAGGAGGAAGCTTGCAATTCGGTGAAAGTACGCCAACATAATGTCGTCATTGGCCATGAATATTCTTCGATTTTCGTCATTCGTTGAATATTGAGAACTACTTTTCATACTTACTTTTAGATTTTAAAGATAACAATTGATAAGTTGCTACTTTTGCTTCAAGCTTTACATCTTCTGATATAAAACATCGTCATATTCATTGCTAACATTTCCAATTTTTCAAAATTTCTAAATTGCTTAGATTGTCAACGAACAACCAACCTTACTCAACAAACATGCAACACTGTTCGCAGTATAAATGTGAAATTATTGCAACTATTTCTATTTTTATTTCCCGGGCGGAAGCTAAGACAGTGGCGGCTCCTGCCCTTTTGAAATGGGGGGGCACAATTTGATTGATGAGTTAAATATGAAGATATAAAACAGGTTGTTATTCCCAATTAACAGACGAAATTGTGTGACGGAAATAAATACAAAAATACATTCAACAAAAGTAAAAAAGTATTTGTCAACATACCTTTTTGCCTTCGGTCAAAATTTTACATTGAATGCATTTAAAAGTTCATTTTGGACAGTTTTAGACGTTCCTTTCAAAACCGTTGTTTCTTTCAAATGATCTGATAGAGCAGAGTCCAATTCAGCCGTAAAATCAATCAGACCTCGAAATATACCTGGATTTTGTGATTCCGTACTTTCGTCATGTCCACGTAAAGCAAATTCGAACACTCCACAAAATTTAATGCGCATTATTAATCGGCGTATTATATGGCGATTTTTGTCGACCCTTGCGTTATGTGCCCAAATATTATTAATCTAGGCGGTGTCTAATTGTTTCCAAATGTTGGTATTACGGAGAAGATTATCCAAGAATATTTATCATACGTGTTACGTCTATTAAAATATCTATGAAAGTTTCTTGTTTTGCCATGAGCACTTTTTATTAATAAATCGGGGATGGCTCTCCCTAAATTTTTCTCTAAAATTTTACCGTCGTGACACAGAGGACGATTTTTTATTAAATATTCAGCTGAATTCATTATTTTTATTTACAATCAAAAAATTTCACTCGCGCAGAATCAAAATTAAATCCCGCAATTGAGTTACTGTGGCTGGGCACCATCGCGGCAGGACCGGCTTGCACTTTACTATTGCTACCACACGCACCGTTTCCATGGCAACGGTGTAAATAAAACGTCTAAATCAGCCATGATTCGGTCTCCGACTTTAACAGTACTTCAACATATCATATATCCAAAACACAACATCTTTAGATGTAAGTGAATGTAAGTACATTTTATACAAGTGGAGCGAGATAAAAAAAATAGTTTTGATAATTATGACACAAATTTCCGGATAATTTTTTAAATGTTGAAAATACTATTTTGCTATGTCCAGTGTGTTTGTGGACGTTGTAATTTGGGGGCACGTGCCCTTGTGCCCCCCCGGCACCAGCCGCTCCTGAACTAAGAAAATATTGTAATCGAATCCATGGGGCCACTTTCATATTTTCTCGATCTGTCATGACCCCAAGATTACGAAAAAATACAGAGTAGGTAAATGCAATTTTCCCGTGTCCATCTGACCGTCGTGTGTTATTTATTTTATTAGACAGAGAACTTCGAGACTGTACTTTGAAATTTTAATCGTACTTCAAGATTATCAAGGAAATGACAAGACACTTACTAATTGTTCATTCCTCCCTGTTGATAATAAATAATCTCAGTTTACATGTAGGTACAGCAAAACATACTTACACACTTCTGCATCAGGATCGTTCCATATGCAAACACCAAATTTGAATGAAAACGATTAAAGATGATCTTTTAGGTAATCAATATGAAAAACCGTCACGATTTGTTTTTTTGGATGCTTCACTTCCAATCGGTACCCCTTAGAAGTGCCTTTTTCAAACTCTCCTATTATGGGCTCTAATTTTTTTTCTCTAAGACGTATTCAAACTATTGTAATTTTATTTTACTACCTAAGAAGTGTGCTTTCAATAATAAATAAATATCTAATCCTATCTTAAATGTGCAAAGTATGATGAGTCAATACTTGTGATTTATCACTGCATTAAAATTTTTTAGATTTGCTTATATGGGATGC